ACACTTCCAAATGGTGTTATCATGTAATAAATGATAGATTTGTTGTCTGTTTCGTGTTATATCAGTTAATATAATATTATTACACGTCTACACTTTCAAATGGTGTTATCATGTAATAAATGGTAGATTTGTCTGTTTCGTGTTATATCAGTTAATATAATATTATTACACGTCTACACTTCCAAATGGTGTTATCATGTAATAAATGGTAGATTTGTCTGTTTCGTGTTATATCAGTTAATATAATATTATTACACGTCTACACTTCCAAATGGTGTTATCATGTAATCAATGTTATATCAGTTAATATAATATTATTACGTCTTTTTTTTAATCATAGTATTTTCATATAACAAAACGCACGTCTTTGTTTCATTTGACTCTGAATCTGGCCTACATTAATATTGTTACTGAAAACACAAGTGACAGAATAATGAAGAAATAATGCAGAATATACATATACATACATATATATCAGATAATGTTGTTTCTTGTCGCCGATAGGTTAACAAGATGCCTAGAACTCACCGAAGCGTACAGTCTCAAAACTGCTGACGTTTTCACACCAAACCAGGCAGAAACTGATCAGCGATAGGTGGCGCTACCGAAAACGAAATATCTCGTTATGAGTTCGTCTTGTATTTTATTGGTGAATATAAGCACGTTAGGAATTTTTTGGAATGAATCACTTTTAACACGAAACTTTGCCGATTGAAGGTGTTTTCATCTTGTTTTGTTTGGAGAGAGAGTTTGGAAAAATAAAGGAAATATTATTAGGTGACTAACGTTTTCATTGAGCCAGTATGTTACTCTGATTGTCGATTTAGAATACAAAACAGAGAAACTTATAACAACGGTAAATTCAACGCTTCAGTCGAAAGGTGTCTCTTACCCCACAACGATACTTGGGTCTCCCCTCAGGTTCTGGCCGTAGGTCCATGAGAGCAAGATAGCGATCTTTGTTTGGTCCCTCCCAGTCCCCTAAACACAAAAACTGGACGCCTAAAAAAAAAAAATGTTGGTACATTAGTAAGATATATCAGTATTTAGTCCTAATTCAGGTACACAAGAATCTATATTACATATTATATACAACTTCCGAGAATAGCATTTGGATTGTTAATACAAACTTAGGGAACATACAATAAGTTCAGAGAGTAACATTTGTATTGTTAATACAAACTTAGGGAACACACAACAAGTTCAGAGAGTAACATTTTTATTGTTAATACAAACTTAGGGAACATACAACAAGTTCAGAGAATAACATTTGTATTGTTAATACAAACTAAAGGAACACACAACAAGTTCAGAGAGTAACATTTTTATTGTTAATACAAACTTAGGGAACATACAACAAGTTCAGAGAATAATATTTGTATTGTTAATACAAACTAAAGGAACACACAACAAGTTCAGAGAGTAACATTTGTATTGTTAATACAAACTTAGGGAACACACAACAAGTTCAGAGAGTAGCATTTTTATTGTTAATACAAACTTAGGGAACATACAACAAGTTCAGAGAGTAACATTTTTATTGTTAATACAAACTTAGGGAACACACAACAAGTTCAGAGAGTAACATTTTTATTGTTAATACAAACTTAGGGAACACACAACAAGTTCAGAGAGTAACATTTGTTAAACATGTATTGTTAATACAAATGTTTATGGCAACCATTATTCTCAGATCCAAGAGGGTCAACCTTAATCTATTTTATCAAGAAATATTATTTTGGAACTATCTAAATTTTTAATGCTAATAATCTATTCATGTATAGTACATGCTACACATTTTTGTTGTTATGTTTCACTAATTAGTATCAATCATGAGCTAAAATCAAAACTTAGTGTTTACAATTTGTTCTTAATAATAACACAGCAGTAAGTCTACTAACTTATAAAGCTAAAAAATCGGGTTTCGATACTCATGATGGCCACAGCACAGATAACCCAATATGTAACTTTGTGCTTAACCACAAACAAAACACATTTAATAATAATTATTTTTTTATGTTCTTGAACCAACAAATACATTTAGGCTTAGCACTACAAATATATTTTTTCCGCTCAGATTTCTTTACATAATCTGCACTTCTATACATTAATAATTCTTTAGGATACAGAAAACCATACTCATGTCTGGGAAGTTGCATTGTCGAAATTGGACGCCCAGACCGTTACCATGGGGACAGTTGCTAACCTCCGAGAAAGGATGAGTACATTGGAACTCTTTATTGTTCGCTGTGTAGGTGAAATGATATCTACCGTTGATGGGACAAAAAATATTCTGAATCGTGGACACCATCTCAGGATCTTGTTTCCCTAAAAGTATTAAAAGATATATTCGAATAAATTATAAATCCTGTCATAAAACTGCATATAGTCACTAAAATACACTTCTTCAGGGTTAACTTGCTGTTTGAACCTCTGGTTATTAATAAAAAATCACTACTCGATACCACACACAATAAAAACGAGATTCAACGGGATCGTATTAATAGGGAAAAATACCTAATTTAAAGAATAATAATAACATTCATATTGATAGGCTATATTATTTTGTTCCACGACATTATTAAAGTGATATTTTCATGGATATTTATACAAAACGAGCAACAGACAGCAAGTCAATAGAACTGACAGATATAATAACTAAACTTAGATATCTCATAGCAGGTAGCCCAATGTGGCTTTGTTCTAAAACAAATAAAGAAAACCCAACTTTACAGATGTGAATCCGGGATAAAAACTGTCTAAAAATATTAGTCAATACGACAGAAAACTAAAACTTAATCTTATTGAAACACTAGTTCGATCTTCACTGTTAATGAAACTTTCGGCCGTAATCCCAATAATATCACACGAGATTCGAATAACTCAAGAGTCTCTGTTTTGTTTTCAAAATCAACATACTATGCCAAAAGGCAATCTGATCGTCATAAGTGTAATTATAATTCAGAATATTCTAAAAAAGTACCAACAACATTTAATGAAACTAATGTTAGCATCATATGAAATAGTGAGATATAATCATAAATTAATACGTAATATAAAAGATAATTATATATTAATACGTAATAATGAGACATAATTATATATTAAGCCCGGCATGGCCAGGTGGCGCTCGACTCGTAATCTGAGGGTCGCGGGTTCGAATCCCCGTCACACCAAACATGTCAACCTCCGCCTTTGCCTGGTCCCAAGTCCAGGATT